CCTCCTCTCTCTGCGTTACTTACTCCTGAACTGACCTGATCCCTCCTCTCTCTGCGTTACTTACTCCTGAACTGACCTGATCCCTCCTCTCTCTGCGCTACTTACTCCTGACCTGACCTGATCCCTCCTCTCTCTGCGTTACTTACTCCTGAACTGACCTGATCCCTCCTCTCTCTGCGTTACTTACTCCTGACCCGATCCCTCCATTCTCTGCATTACTTACTCCTGAACTGACCTGATCCCTCCTCTCTCTGCGTTACGTACTCCTGAACTGACCTGATCCCTCCTCTCTCTGCGTTACTTACTCCTGACCTGACCTGATCCCTCCTCTCTCTGCGTTACTTACTCCTGAACTGACCTGATCCCTCCTCTCTCTGCGTTACGTACTCCTGAACTGACCTGATCCCTCCTCTCTCTGCGCTACTTACTCCTGACCTGACCTGATCCCTCCTCTCTCTGCGTTACTTACTCCTGAACTGACCTGATCCCTCCTCTCTCTGCGTTACTTACTCCTGACCTGTCCTCTGCTCTCTCTTTATACTCACAGTTTAAGCCAACAGTGTTCCTGATTCCCACCACACCAGTCCCGGTGTCACCAAAGCATTTTAGGCCAGCAATAGTTTTCCTGATTGCCACCACACCAGTCATGGTGTCACCAGACCAATGTTAGTGAGCAACAATGTCCGTGATCACCGCCATATTAGTACAGTGTCACCAGAGCCAGTGAAAATACAAAACCAACAGGGGAACAGAAATTGGATTTCCTAAGGTCACCGAAATTGTTGGCTAAGTGGTTAGCACTTCTGCCCAGCAACACAAGGGATGTTGGTAGGGATGGGCTTGATATTTGAGTTGAATGTAAGTTTGACTCGAACATCAGCCCGTTCATGTGTTTCACTGTTCACGTGTTCGCCCAAAGTGCACTGCGCTCTCACAGTGAATTGTGAATGGCCAAAGCAATGCACCTAACCACAGGTCAAGTGCAATGCTTTGGCCAATCACAGCACGATTGGGTGGAGCTTGTGCTGATGTCACCGATAGCTCCGCCCAGTTGTTTACATCTGACCAGCAAATGTCAGATTGCGGCAAGTGCTCGGCAGGTACGAACGGGTTGGTAGACATCGTTTTTTTTTTTTTTTTAATTTGGGAAGTTGCGTCAATGTGACAACGCTGGATGCCATGATTGACGATGCATTACAACGATGGATTACAATGATGGAACCATTTATTTTTTTTTCAATAAAGGACTTGTACCTTTAAAAACGGTACTTTCTGAAACATTTTTTTTCGCTGATTCATGTCCCTCAGGACAGTACCTGAGTCCCCCATACCTTGCATATACAGGAAGCCTTCAAAATGGGCACTTCTGAATTTAAAACGTTCGAGTCCCATAGACTTGCATTGAATTAACAGTTCGCGGTCCAACATTCATTAGGTTCAAATGTTCCACCGGGTACCGAACACGGGGGGCGGGGGGAGGGGAGGTGTTCAGCCCATCACTAGTTGTTGGTTCAAATCCCAACCATGACACCACCTGCCTGGATTTTGTATGTTCTCCCTGTGCCTGTGTGGGTTTCCTCCGGGTACTTCATTTTCCTCCCACACTCCAAACAGGGGTGTATTTACCACAAGGCAAACAAGGCATTTCCCTAGGGTGGCATTTTGCAGGGGGGCATCACTGCCCCTTGGAAGAAGGGACAGAAGAAGGGACACACGTGGTATGGGGACCTTGTGAGTTCCGAGAGAGGCTATGGGTTTCATGACGGTGTATGCACAGCCCGACTCTCGTTCCCGGGAATGTCCGGAGCTGCGGAGGTGAATGTCTTTCTCTCTCACCATTGGGGGATGGTGGCTGGTGTATGGGGGGCAGTGGTAATGGAAGGCTTGGGTGGAGGCAGGGGTGTTCTTGGTCAATGTCAGGCTCTTTCTGCAGGGGGGGGGGGGGGGGGGGGGGGGGTGGGCTTGTTGGCACCACTTTTTGTGTTGACTAGGGCAGCACAAAACCTAAATACACCACTGACTCCAAAGACATGGTAGGATAATCAGCTCCGGTCTAGATTGTCCCTAGTATGTGTATGTATGAATGTGAGTTAGGGACCTTAGATTGTATGCTCCTCGGGGGCGGGGACTGATGTGAATGTACAACATACAGTATATGTAAAAGTGCTGCATGAATTGATGGTGCTATTCAAGTACCTGTAATAATGAAATAAATACATCGTCAGCGGGCGCTCTGCTTCTGCAACACTCCAACCAAACGGGGGCCGCCCTCAGGAAAAAGGGAAATGACCGAGAGTTGAGAATCCACGCGCATACAATCCAATCAGGGCACCGAACCAACGTCCAAGAGTCCAAGGGAATTCAATGATTAAATTAATTGGTACGGGAGCCAAGCACGCCCCCCCTTCACCAGGGCCACAAAACAGGTACAAATACAAAGGTCATCAATAAAAAGAGACTAGAATTAAAAAAAAATGAATGTCAAAGGATATATACAGTAATACAGTGAAGGAAATGTGTATGTGCCCCCGGCTGATTTTGAATGTTCGCCCCTCACAAAGAAATGATCGGTCTAAAAATCCTGTACACAGAGTCATCTCCATCCTGCACACAGTCATCACCCTATACACAGAGTCATCTCCATCCTGTAAACAGTCATCTCTATTCTGTTATCTCCATCCTGTACATAGAGTCATCTCTATTCTGTCATCTCTATCCTGCACACAGTCATCGCCACCCTGTACACACAGAGTCATCTCCATCCTGTAAACCGTCATCTCTATTCTGTCATCTCCATCCTGTACACAGTGTCATCTCCATCCTGTCATCTCCACCCTGTACACAGAGTCATCTCCATCCGGTACACAGAGTCATCTCCATCCTGTACACGGAGTCATCTCTATTCTGTCATCTCCATCCTGTACACAGAGTCATCTCCATCCTGTCATCTCCATCCTGCACACAGTCATCTCCATCCTGTCATCTCCACCCTGTACACAGAGTCATCTCCATCCTGTACACAGAGTCATCTCCATCCTGTACACGGAGTCATCTCTATTCTGTCATCTCCATCCTGTACACAGAGTCATCTCCATCCTGTCATCTCCATCCTGCACACAGTCATCTCCATCCTGTACACAGAGTCATCTCCATCCTGTAAACAGTCATCTCTATTCTGTCATCTCCATCCTGTACACAGAGTCATCTCCATCCTGTCATCTCCATCCTGTACACAGAGTCATCTCCATCCTGTAAACAGTCATCTCTATTCTGTCATCTCCATCCTGTACATAGAGTCATCTCTATTCTGTTATCTCCATCCTGTACACAGAGTCATCTCCATCCTGTCATCTCCATCCTGCACACAGTCATCTCCACCCTGTACACAGAGTCATCTCCATCCTGTACACAGAGTCATCTCCATCCTGTAAACAGTCATCTCTATTCTGTCATCTCCATCCTGTACATAGAGTCATCTCTATCCTGTCATCTCCATCCTGTACACAGTCATCTCTATCCTGTCATCTCCATCCTGTATACCACATTCTGCTCTATGTAAGTCATCTCAGACTCTATCTAACCCCCTTAGTGTAATTTACACACACTTTGATTTTTCTTGCTTCTTGTAGATCACGTCCTCCCGGGTGAGGGGGGGGGCAGTCGCTGATCTTGCCCAGGGCTCATACCAGTCTAGCAGTGGCCCCGGCCGGCGGGGATTGGCGAGTTCCCCGTGCATGCTTGCGATCGGGAGCTTTCTGATCATGTGACTGCTGCGACAGCCATTCACAGCGGTTACATGTCCCCAATGCCCGCCTTCGCCTCCTGGATTCTAGGACCCTTACAGGGCCGGGAGGTGGTCAGCCCCAAAGGGGGTTTCGATGAACAGATACCAATAAATCGGCAATGGAAGGAAATGTCACAGAAAGTGTGTTGGTGGTGCAGAGCTCAGCGAGGAAATGAAGAGGTTAATGTGCTGATCAGAGAGACATGGAAGTGCTGGAAGGCATCGTACCTGCTGGGAACGATTCGGGAGGGCGGGTGACACCGAGAGCGAACTTCCTTCCTGGGAATCATTCATCGAAGAAAAGGCGCTGAAGTTTGAAGGGAGGAGGAGATCGGAGCACGGGACTGAGGGAGGAGTGTGCTGATGATGACTTTACTGATAGGACACTGACGGGTCCCAATGGAAGAGGAGAAGAGGAGGGAGGAGGAGTATGGAGGTGGAGGAGAGCCGTATACAAATACTAATACGCAGGAGGGAGGAGGAGTACGGAGGTAGAGGAGAGCGGTATAATGTAAAGCGCTGAGCAAACTGTTGGCGCTATATAAATCCTGTATAATAATAATATACCCATGCAGGAAGCAACTGACAATTGCCTCCTGTTGCCCTTGGTAACCACTGCTTCCACTGCTCTCTCAATCACTAAGCTACTTTGCATGCCAGAAATTATCTGCTTTGTTACATTGTTTCTGTTTTCTTTGTAACTATTGTGTATACTTGTCTGTATGAAGTGACTTTATCCTCACAGTGCCTTAGCTGAGATCATCATCACCTTGCCTTACCTTGTGTCCATCCTGCTTATGGCAGAACACCCCCCCCCATGTGTCATTTATTAGCTCTTATTTGAACGATTGCCTAACCTCCCCCCCCCCCCCCCATCCAAGTATAAATTCAGTACAGTCCATGGGACGGCTGGCGGGGGGACAGGCTGGCATTCCTTGCGCAAAGTACACATTACGGCGCTAAGTACATCGCACTTTCAACACGGCACTCTGACTAAGGTAAGTACAAACAGCGCTCCACCTCAAGTAGATTGCATGTGCACTTCCCTCTCCTCCTTCTCTTCCCTCTCTTCCCTCTCCTCCCTCTCTTCCCTCTCCTCCTTCTCTTCCCTCTCCCTCCCCTCTCTTCCCTCTCCTCCTTCTCTTCCCTCTCTTCCTTCTCTTCCCTCTCCTCCCTCTCTCCCTCTCCCTCTCCTCCTTCTCTTCCCTCTCCTCCCTCTCCTCCTCTCTCTCCCCTCTCCCTCTCCCTCTCTTCCCTCTTCTCCCTCTCTTCCCTCTCCTCCTTCTCTTCCCTCTCCCCCTTCTCTTCCCTCTCCTCCCTCTCCTTCCTCTTCTCCCTCTCTTCCCTTTCTTCCCTCTCTTCCCTTTCTTCCCTCTCTCTTCCCTTTCTTCCCTTTCTTCCCTCTCTTCCCTTTCTTCCCTCTCCTCCCCCTTTCTTCCCTCTCCTCCCTCTCTTCCCCTCCTCCTTCTCTTCCCTCTCCTCCTTCTCTCTCCCCTCTCCTCCCTCCCTCTCCTCCTTCTCCTCTTCTCCCCTCTCCTCCTCTCTCTTCCCTCTCCTCCTCTCTCCTCTCTCTCTCCCTCTCCTCCTTCTCTTCCCTCTCCTCCGTCCTCCTCCTCTCTCTCTTCCCTCTCCTCCTTCTCTTCAGTCTCTTCCCTCTTTCCTTCCTTTGTTATTTCTCTTCTCTCCAGCATGCTCTTGCTAACCCTCTTTGTTGCTATAATGCCCTCTCTTCTCAAACGCTCTCTTGTTTACCCCTCCCCCCCACCACACAACCTGTACATATCACCCTCACTCCTGCCCTCCCAATATCACTGCATTTATCTCCTGCTCTCTCTTGGTCCACATAATGTCACCACTACAAAATCACTGCGGCATCTTCCCTCATATAAATCTTGCTCCCACCTCACCTCCCTCACCCTCCTACTAGTACTAACTTCTGGAGACATTGCCCCAAACCCTGGCCCTCCACCATCAAAATCCAACCCACAGAAGCAGCAGCCTCCCCTCTCTGGCCGCAGCCGCAAACCCTCACTCTCTCATCTCAATCCCCCTGCTTCCACGCACCAACCCCTCCCTCCTATGTGCCCTCTGGAATGCCCGCTCAGCCTCTAACAAACTCTCTACTATCAATGACCTCTTCCTCTCCCACTCCCTCAACCTTCTTGCTATTACTGAAACCTGGCTCCAGTATTCTGACTCTGTCTCCTCAGCTGCACTCTCCTATGGTGGCCTCCTCTGGACTCACTCGCCTAGACCCAGTGGCCAAAAAGGGGGTGGAGTCAGACTTCTTTCCCCACAAAGCACGTTCCAGGTTCTTCCTGCCCCTCTGTCTCTGTCCCTCCGCTCTTTCGAAGTGCACTGTATTTGTCTATTTTCTCCTGTTTGTCTGAGGATCGCTGTCATCTACCAGCCCCCGGGCCCAGTTTCACGCTTTCTGGATGACTTTTCAGCTACCATAGTTTCTCTCCTCTGAGGTGCCCGCCATTATCCTCGGTAACTTTAACATCCCAGTCAATGTTCACACCCCCGCCACCTCTCAACTACTCAACCTAACTGCCTCCTTTAACCTAACACAATGGTCACAATCCACCACCTACTCCAATGGCAACACCCTTGACCTTGTATTCACCCACCTCTGCACTCCCTGAACCTCTCTAACACCCCTTTCCTCTCTATGGTCACAACTTTATCAGCTTCACAGTCTCCCTGCCTCTCCTACCTCCCATGCCTCCAACCAGCAAACCGTTACCTGTAGAAACCTCCATCACCTAAGCCCTGACCTTCTCCACTCCGCTACTGAGCGCCTCTATGATGAAATTGCACCCCTGTCCTGCCCAGAGCTGGCCACATCTGCCTACAACAACTATCTATCATCCTCCCTGGATGCTCTTGCACCTCTTTCTACAAGCAGAACCAGGCCTCACCTGTCACAACCCTGGTAAACAGATGACACCAGACGTCTCAAGAGACGCAGCCGCACTCTTGAGTGAGCATGGCATAAAAATAAATCCCTGGAAAACTTTACCCTCTACAAATCCGCTCTTCTCAAATACAACTCCAGCCTCCACGCTGCTAAGCAAACCTACTATAACACTCTCATCAAGACCCTCATCCAATCCTCATCAACTCTTCTCTACTCTTAATTCCTTACTCCACCCCCACTGCCTCAACCCCACCAACTTACTTACTGCACAGGAGATTGCCAGTCACTTCAAGGAGAAGATCGACACAATTCGTGATGAGATCTCCAGTGTCAAGCTTCCACCTCTAACCAACATACCAGGCCCAACACCAAACTCAACACTCTCCTCCTTCGACCCTGTTACCACCAAGGAAGTTACCGAACTCCTTTCCAAGGCCCACTTCACCACCTGTCCCCTGGATCCTGTCCCCTCACGACTGTTACAGCCTCCTTCCTGCTCTATCCTAAACTCTCTAACACACATCTTCAACCTCTCACTGTCCATGGGCACCTTTCCCTCCACGCTCAAACATGCACTGGTTACCCCCATCCTCAAAAAACCCTTGCTGGACCCCACCTGTTTGAATAACTTAAGGAACTGCTACCTCACCGCCAACAACCTTCTTCATCCCCGACAGTCTGGCTTCCGCCGACAAACATTCCACTGAAACTGCCCGACTAAAACTCACTAATGACCTACTGACTGCTAAAAAACCAACGGCCATTACTCCATACTCATCCCAACCAACGGCCATTAAACTCATCCCAACCAACGGCCATTACTCCATACTCATCCCAACCAACGGCCATTACTCCATACTCATCCCAACCAATGGCCATTATGCCATACTCATACTCCTTGACCTTTCTGCTGCCTTTGACGCAGTTGACCACCCGCTCCTCCTCAGTAAACTCCACTCCATCAGCCTCCGTGACTCTGCTCTCTCCTGGTTCTCCTCTTACCTTTCTCTGTGCACTTTCAGTGTCACATACAACTCCTCCTCCTCCGCTCCACTGCCTCTTTGGGTACCCCAAGGTTCTGTTCTTGGGTCCCACCTTTTCTCTCTCTATACCTCCTCCCTGGACCAACTGATATCCACCCATGGCTTCCAATACCACCTCTATGCTGATGACACCCAAATTTATCTCTCCACTCCCCAGCTCACCCCCTCAATCAACTCACGTATCACAAATCTTCTGAGCGACATATCAGTATGGATGTCACATCACTACCTCAAACTCAATCTTTCAAAAACTGAGCTTGTAATATTTCCTCCTCCCCGATCCCCCACTCATGACTTTACCATTAAGATCAACAGCAACTACCATTGGTCCTTCCCCTCATGCCAGGGTGCTAGGCGTAATCCTAGACTCCGACCTCTCCTTTGGGCCCCACATCCACTCACTGGCTAAATCCTGCCGCCTCAACCTCCGGAACATTTCCAAAATCCGCCCCTTCCTGACCAATGAGACCACAAAACAACTTATCCACGCCTTGGTTATATCCCGCCTCGATTACTGCAACTCCCTCCTCACTGGTCTACCGTTACACAGGACACACCCCCTTCGGTCTACTTATGAATGCTGCCGCTTAGACTCATACACCTTACCAACCAATCGGTGACTGCTGCTAGACTCGTACACCTTACCAACCGATCAGCGACTGCTTCCCCTCTCTGCCAATCCCTCCACCTCCTCCACTTAGTGTCCTCCACCCCTCTCTGCCAATCCCTCCACTGGCCTCTTTTCAGTGTCCTCCACCCCTCTCTGCCAATCCCTTCACTGGCCTCCATTCAGTGTCTTTCCACCCCTCTCTGTTAATCCCTCCACTGGCCCCCACTCAGTGTCCTCCACCCCTCTCTGCCAATCCCTCCACTGGCCTCCGCTCAGTGTCCTGCACCCCTCTCTGATAATCCATTCACTGAACTCTGCTCAGTGTCCTCCACCCCTCTTTGCCAATCCCTCCACTGGCCTCCACTCAGTGTGCTCCACTCCACTCTACCAATCTTTTCACTGGCTTCCACTAACCAACGTATAAAATTAAAAATACTAACCCAACAGCTTACAAAGCCATCCACAACACTGCCCCTAGAGCTACATCGCCAACCTCATCCACAGATACTGCCCAAAATTACCCACTCCGCTCCTCCTATGATATCTTCCTCTCTAGCTCCCTCATCACCTCCTCCCAAGCTCGCCTCCAGGACTTCTCCAGAGCCTCTCCCATCCTCTGGAACTCCCTACCACAGCATGTCAGATCAGCCCCCACCCTGTCTGCCTTTTAGGCAATCTTTGAAAACTTACTTCTTCAGGGAAGCCTACCCCACTTCCACCTAAGAACTGTGCTTGAACCACCTCCACCAGATCACCCCCCGCAGCTATCACCTTTTGTATCACCTCCCCCTTCCTTTAGATTGTAAGCTCCACAAGCTGGGCCCTCCTATTTCTTCTGTACTGAAATGTATTGTAATTGTACTGTCCCCCTTATATTTGTACAGCGCTGCGCAAACTGTTGGCGCGATATAAATCCTGTATAATAATAATAATAATGGAGGGAGGAGGAGTACGGAGGTGGAGGAGAGCCGTATACACATACTAATAAAAGCCCAACCCCTGAAAAACAACCCCACACCATAATCCCCCCTCCACCGAACTTTTACACTCGGCACAATGCAGTCAGGGAAGTACACGTCCATCAGATTGCCAGAAAGAGAATAGTGATTGGTCACTCCAGAGAACACGCCTCTACTGCTCTAGAGTCCAGTGGCGGCATGCTTTACACCACGGCATCCGATGCTTTGCATTGCACTTGGTGATGGAAGGCTTGGATGCAGCTGCTCGGCCATGGAAACCCATTCCATGAAGCTCTCTACGCACTGTTGTTGGGCTCATCTGAAGGCCACACCAAGTTTGGAGGTCTTTAGCTATTGACTCTGCAGACAGTTGGCGACTTCTGCGCACTGTGCGCTTCAGCATGTGCTGACCCCGCCCTGTCATGTGACGTGGCCTACCACTTGGTGGCTGAGTGGCTGTTGTTCCCAGTTGCTTCCACTTTGTTATAATCCCACTAACAGTTGGCCGTGGAATATTTAGTAGCCAGGAAATGTCACGGATGGACCTATTGCCCAGGTGGCCACCTATCATGGGACCACGCTTGGAGTCACTGAGCTCCTGAGAGCGAAACCCATTCTTTCACCAATGTTTGTAGAAGCAGTCTGCATGCCTAGGGGCTTGATGGTATACACCTGTGTCCATGGAGGGGATTGGAACACCTGAATCACATGGTTTGCAGGGGCGGGGACAATACTTGGGGCAATATAGTGGAGACTGCCACATGTAGCAAGCTTTCAAGCTCTTTATCCTTGTCTTGGGAGATCTTCAGGGCAGCTGGGGGGCAGACAGGGTTCAATGAGTTGATGCGATCCTAAAAGTTTCTTGCTCAATACTTTCTCATATTCAGACATGTCAGATGATGTTTGCTACAAATAACAAAGTAACTATTTATCCAGAAATGTCTGGGAGTGCAGTGAGGGACTCATTGGAGGACTGTAGTAGTGGATCATTGAACGGGTGTAGTAGTGGGGCTCATTGGAGGGGTGTATTACATTATTACATTACATTGAGTTTATATAGCGCCAAAGGGTTTGCTCAGCGCTGTACAATAGAGGGGGGGACAATACATGAAACATTACAGCAACTACGAACAGCACACGAAGGGTTATAGGGCCCTTACTCTTTCGTGCTTACAATCTAGGAGGGAGGGGGGGTAGTGGTACAGGAGGAAGTGGCTGTGGGGGATGGAGTGGTAGGAGGAATGAAGGAGAGCAGCAGTTAGGTGAGGGGTGTGGTAGGCTTCCCTGAAGAGGTGGGTTTTTCAGGGAGCGCCTGAAGGTGAGGAGGGAAGGTGACAGTCTGATGGATTGGGGTAGTGAGTTCCAGAGGATGGGGGAGGACCTGGAGAAGTCTTGCAGACGTGCGTGTGAGGAGGAGACCAGGGAGCAAGATAGAAGGAGGTCCTGTGAAGAGCGAAGGGTACGGGTATAGGGTGGTACTTGGGAATCAGGTTGGTGAGGTAGTTAGGGGCAGTGTTGTGAATGGCTTTGTAGGTCAGAGTGAGTAGTTTGAATTTGATGCGTTTGGGCGATAGGGAGCCAGTGGAGGGAGAGGCAGAGGGGGGGTGGCAGAGGTGGAGCGGGTGGTGAGGGGGGTGGATGAGTCTGGCCGCTGAGTTGAGGATGGTCTGAAGCGGGGAGAGCCTGCACTGGGGTAGGCCGGTGAGGAGGGAGTTGCAGTAGTCAAGGCGTGAGATAATCAGGGAGTGCACAAGTAGTTTAGTGGTGTCTGGGGTAAGGAAGGAGCGTATTTTGGCGATAATTGCGGAGGTGGAGTCTGCATGCGTTTGTAAGTGATTTGACATGAGGTTGGAAGGATTGAGGTTAGAGGGGTCCAGAATGACTCCAAGGACTTTGGCTCGCGGGGCGGGATTGATGGTGGTGATGTTAGTAGTGATGGATAGGATGGGGGGGGGCGCGGCGGGCAGGAGGGGGAAGACGAGAAGCTCGGTTTTGGAGAGGTTTGAGTTTGAGGAAATGGAGCGACATCCAGTCAGAGATGTCGTTTAGGAGGTGAGTGATGCGCGGGCGGAGAAAGTGGAGGTGAGGTGAGGGGGAGTGGAGAGGTAAATTTGAGTGTCATCAGCATAGAGATGGTAGTGAAGCCGTGGGCTTTGAGTGTTATGAGTTTGCCAAGGGAGGAGGCGTAGATGGAGAAGAGAAGGGATCCAAGGACAGAGCCCTGGGGGACCCCCAACAGAGGGGGGAAGTGAGGGGGAGGTGGCACCATTGTAGGTGACACTGAAGGAGCGTCGGGATAGGTACGAGGAGAACCAGGAGAGAGCGGTGTCTCTGATGCCAAGGGAGAATAGTTTATTAAGGAGGAGGGGGTGGTCAACTGTGTCGAAGGCCGTGGAGAGGTCCAGGGAGGAGGAGGACAGAGTAGTCGCCTTTGACTTTGGCGGTTAGTAGGTCGTTGGTGATTTTGAGGAGGGCGGTTTCGGTGGAGTGTAGGGGACGGGAAGCCGGACTGTAGTGGATCAAGGAGGTTGTTGTCAGTTAGGTGGGCGCTTAGGCGGTTGTAGACTAAGCGCTCCAGGAGTTTGGAAGTGAGTGGCAGCAGGGAGATGGGTCTGAGGTTGTTTGGGTCAGAGGGGTCCAGGGAGGGCTTTTTGAGTATGGGGGTGATGTGCGCATGCTTTAGGGGGGAGGGGAATACGCCGGTAGAGAGGGAGAGATTGAAGATGTGGGTGAGGGAGCAGATGAGGGAAAAGAGGGGGATGACTGGAGGAGTCGAGAGGGGATAGGGTCCAGGGGGCAGGTAGTGAGGCGGGCTTCTGAGAAGACCCTGGTGACTTCCTCAGTGGTAGTAGGGCTGAAGGAGTGCAGAGCTGGTGGGGTTACGGTAAGCGGGGTCTTGGGGGTGGAGGGGGGCAGTGCGGTTGCGAGGTCAGTGGAGGGAAGAGATGAGGGGGAGATAGGGGGGGGGGAGGCTAGGTGGGGAGGTAGATTGCGAGTTGACTATGTCCTGACGGATTGCATCAATTTTGTTGTGGAGAAATGAGTGGCAATTTCGTGGGGCGGTGAGTGAGGTACTGAGGGGTGGAGGGGGGGGGGGGAGAGCAGGGGAGTTGAAGGATGGAGAAGAGTCGGCGAGGGCAGGTGGAGAGGGTGTTTAATACAGGTTTACGAAGTTAAGCCTGCTTGGCGGCGTGGAGGGAGGAGGTGTAAGTGAGGAAGGCAGATTTGTAGAGGGAGAATGAACGGGGGGACCTGGTTTTGCGCCACAGTCTCTCTAGCGCGCGCGGGACTGCGACGTTGAGGCATTTAGTATGGTCGTTTCTGCCAGGGTTGGAGCGGTCTGGGTTTGATCTGTCGTTTGTAGGCGGTCGGCAGCTGAGTGGAGGGGGCCGGGTGCAGGTTGCGGAGGTTGCGCTGGTGATGGTTTGGCGCTCTGGGGGGGGGAGTTGGGAGTTTAGGGGAAGGGGAGAGCATGGAGAACGTGAGGCAGGTGGGTGGTCGGAGAGAGGGCAAAGGGGTGTTAGAGAACATGGTTTGAGGGTAATAAAGAGGTGGGAGAAGACGAGGGTCCAGGGTAGTTCCAATGATGTTAGTGTGGGTGGAGGATTGAGTGTGCTGTGTGAGCGCGAAGGAGGAGGTTATAGGTGGAGCGAAGTTGGGAAGTAGCCAGGCTGTTGTCATTTGATGGGGATATTGAAGTCCGACCTCGAGGATGATGGTTGGTAGCTCAGAGGAGAGGAAGAAGGGAAGCCAGGCATCGAAGTCATCCAGGAAGCGGGGGTATGGATCCGGGCGGCCTGTAGATCACTGCGATCTCCTTAGGGGGGTGGGGGGTGAAGAGCCGGATCAGTGAGCCTCGAAGGAGGAGAGGAGGTTAGGGAGGGAGGATTAGGGAGGACTGGAAGGTGCTCAGCGGTGATAGGAGCAGGCCGACCCCACACCTTTGTGACCGCTCAGTCTTGGTGAATGGGACCAGACGAGACCTCCATAGGAGGAGTGCCACAGGGGAGGTGGAGTCAGTGGCCTGTACCAGGTTTCGGTGATGGCTAGGAAGGTTAAGGGAGCGGGAGGATATAAAGAGGTCATGGATGGCAGTAAGTTTGTTGCAGACCGAGCGGGCGTTCAGGAGTGCAACCATGAGAGTAGGGGGATGGATGCGGGGAGAAGGGGCACAGATATGGAGTTGAGGGGTTACGGCAGCTGGCCAAGGAGCAGGGGGGTCCCTAGAGGAGGGGTGTTGCAGGGTGGGTGGCGATGGGGGTTGCAGGGTTTCGGGAGATGTCACCTGAAAGGTTGTCGCTAGCCCCTGCTATCTGTCTTGATCAGTCTGTTTGAAGGTTATGGGACGTCCAGAAGACTACTTCACCTAAGTAATAGACAAGTGCACACAGTGTGGTGAAATTAATCTACATTTTTTTTAATT